TTCGTCGGCCGACGCAAGTATCGCCAGTACATTAACCGCAAGTACGGCTGCAACCGACCGCTGGACAACGCGCTGTAGTTCCTCCGTTGCGGCATGCGTCGCAGTTCGTGAAGCCTGGACGCGCACAGTGTGCGCGGGCGCACGGCGTGCTCTCGGCGCGAGACTCAGCGCAGGTCTACCCCGAGCACGCTCTCGAGCCGTGTGCTCTGCGATGGCGCGTCAGTCTGCTTGGTTGCGGTTTTTTCTACGTTCGAAACCGCCGGCGCCTCTGCATGCGACACTGCTGCCGCGTCGGTCGCCGCGCGCGCTCTGCGCCTTTCCCGCAGTTTCTCGATTTGCCGTTCCTGTCGCTGAAACAGCTGCTTCAGCAGCTGCCACTGCTGCGTGCGTTTGAAGTACATCGTTTGCAATTCAGAATACTTGTTTTCGAACGCCGTGAAATTCGCTCTGAGGGTTTCGAGTTCGAACTGCAGCTTGCGTTCGGGCGCTGCGGGGTCGAACGCTTTGTTCTCGACAAGCGCGGTAAGCCGGATAATTTCCGAGGCGAGTTCTTGGTTTTTCTTGATGAGTTCAGCATCTTTCACGAAGAAATTGTCGACACGTATTTGCAGCGGCGGCAGAAAAATGCGCTGACTGCAGATCTCTGAGCGTCGCAGTTTTACGCGCGCCGCGGCTGGCACTGCGACGTGCTCGGCGGCACTTTCAGTGGCCCGAGCTTGAAGGTGCTGTTTGCTTGCCAATGCTTCCGCTGCTGCGAGTCGTGGCTCGCCGCGCTCTGCTGCTGCGCCGCTCGTGAGCTGTTTTCTGCTTTCAGAAGCACGCGAGCTGCAGGCGGCGCCGAGCGTAGCTTTTTGGGTCACGGTAGGAGCCGGCGGAGAACGACTCGCGAGGGGCGGCTGCGGTGAGCGCAATTCTCTCCGTTTGCTGGATATTAGAAAGCAGTTATTGGAGTGGGCTGAACTCGAGTCTGAGTTCACAGTCGACGCAGCGTTGGATGAGAGCGGCGAGTGGCCTCGAGCGGAAAAAACGCTGGCCGACTTGGCCGGCGCGAGCGCTGAGCTGGTCGTGCCGGCCTCGCTGGCGAGCGGTCCGTCGTCGGCTTCCGCAAGCGGTGCGGTCGGCGCAATGCGTTCGACGCTGGGGTGCGCTCGCTTTTCGCGGGTGTCGCTGTGCGCAGACTTTGAGTTCGACTTGCGGTGGCGCGAGTGGCCGAGCGAGACGTGCGCGAGCGTTCTATAAAGCTTGCGCGGCTGGTGCGTGAGCGCTTTGCGCACTGACTTCACGGGCAGTATGTACGGCGAATTGTGTCTGTGTCTTGACTTGTGGGCGGCGAGCTGTTGCGCCTGGCTGAGCTCTGTTTCGCTGACTTGCGGAGAGCTGATCCCGGACGTGCAGAGGTTGCTGGGAATGAGCTGCACGAACGAGGAGCACTCCGACTCGTTTTCACCGCGGCCGTCGCGCGAAGCGTGCAGCGCGGCGGACGGCGCGGGCTTCGTGGCTTGCGTGGCGACGTCTTGCTCTTTGTGCAGCTCGTCGGAAGCATTGTTCAAGCTAGTCTGCGAGTCAAAGTCCGCCAGGAACGCGTTGAACTTCGGCTGGCTCATTCATTTAGCGAAATTAAAGTGCACTCAATGCGCACTCTCCGAGTTGCGCAGTCGTCTGCTGCGCTCGACGAGGGTGTCACGCAGGGCGCTGAAAGCGGCTTGGCTCATCCAGCCATATTCTTTGGTACACGTGTCGACGGGGCTCGCGGTCGCGAGGAACTTCTGGATCGTTTCGTCGTCTATGTCGCAAAACATGTAGATTACAGCTGGCTTGCTTGGCGAAGTTTTCATTTCGAAGTCGAGCACGGCGTTCAGCTGCGCCCGAGTGCCGGCGAGTCCGAACTTGAAAGAGCGGTAGTGCGGGTCGCGGAAGTCGATCGACTGGTAGCGCAGCGCTTCAGAGTTGCGCTTGGGGTCGTAGCCGAGGCGCACAATGCAGCCGCGCCACGGGCCGTTGCTGTAGCTGTAGGTGAGCGCGGCGAGAATTTTTTTGAGCAACGTTTGGTTGGTCTTTGAGATTTGCAGCTGCGGCTGCACGGCGGGAACTTACCTTGCCGAGCAAGCTGGCGCGCGTCCATACGGGGCGCTGCTCGAGCGCCTTTTTGATCGTGAGGTAGAGCTGGCGCTCGTGTCCGGTGAGCGCGGCGGCGTCGAGCGGTGCCAGCGGCGCGCTGGGAACTGCGTCGTCCTCGAAGCGCGCGGAGTGGCTGATCTTGCGTGCGGAAATGTTATCCAGCAACTGCTGCACGTAGTCGTGGTATGGCGCGCCGTCAATTGCGTTGTGGGGAGCGGCAGCGGGAGACGCACTCTTGCAACCGCTAGGCTCGAAGGTGCATTTGACGGGCCGCGTCTGCCGCGAGTACGCGGGCGGCTCGAGCAGGTCCGAAAACGTTAAATTTGTAGGCGCGTGCGCGGCGGCTTCTGGACACCGCATTATTGCGGCGCGGGCGCGCGGCAGTCGGTACGCGAGGTCGCAACTGTTGTAGAAGTCGAAGAGCGCTTGAAAGTCGAACAGCTGCGTAACCACGAAGAGCGGCTGCAGCGCGTCGTCCGCGCGCGCGAAGTATACGATGCAGGTCTTGTGCGCGGTAGAGCTGACGCGCTTGCTCAGCGGGTCGCGCGGGTTCAGATTCAACAGCAGACTCTGCTCCGTTTTCAGTGCGCAAGCATTGCTGACGACCTCGAGCCCACCGAGCGCCGCGACCGCGGTGTCCGCGTTGAGCACGCGGCCAGGTACTAGCACCAGCGCGGCGCGCGGCACGTCTTTCAAGAGTACGCGCAAGCGGCTTACGCTTGCCATGCGTCTTACCTCCCGGCGGATAGTGACATGAAAATATGAAGTCTGAAAACTACTAAAAAAACTCTGCGGGAGAGTGATAATTCGGGCGGTTGCATCACGGTAGATTCGTATCGTGGGCGCTTAAAAAATAGCTCTGATTGATTTCATCAGGTTTAGATGAGGCGCCATTTTGGCGCGCAGTTTCGAGAATTCAGCAACTCGTCTACTAGTTTTAACTGATATAACTAAAACGCTTGAATTCGGTTTTCAATGAGCTCCATGACGCGCATGATGCCGTCGTTCTCGAGCAGGTCCATGATTTGGTTGACGACGGGTTCGCTGTCGAGCGGCAAGTAGCAGTCCGTTTCAGACATCTCGCTCGGCGTCGGTTCGTCTTCGTACAGCGCGCCGGAGCGCGCAGCTTTTGCGCTGTCGCGCGTGTTGTACAGGTTGATCAGCGCAGTGCTCGAGAGCTCTTGGTCTTGTCGGATGTTCAGCATGCGCATCAGCAGGCCCGACTGGAAAGAGATGAGTGCCGGCATGTAGTAGTTTTCCACAGGGTATAGCCGGATCGCGAGCAGCGAGGCGAAGGCCATCGAGCAGAGCACCGGGTCGATCTTCAGCTCTCGGTGCTGCTGCATCGGAGACATTTTGCTGAGCGGGTTGTCCTCCGCGACGGCGAGCACAACACCGAACTCCGTGCACAACTTGCTCCGCTTCAGCGCCTCCGCGTGGTTCTGCTTGTAGAGGCGGATCAGGCCCATTTCAGTCTGCGTGAAGCCTTGCGTGTGTGCCACGTAGTAGTCGTCGATCAGCTGTGGCGGCAAGTGCCACGGGTACTTGGCTTCCGATTCGTGCAGCACGCGCAGCTCTCTTTGGCTGTGCGCGTAGGGGCAAAAGTACCAGGGGCACATCGTCATGCCCCAGTCTTGGCGCTTGTGCATGCAGCTTGGACAGGAGCGCGTCTTGTAGATCGCGGGGTGGTACAGAAACTCGTCCACGCTGTGCACGAAAGGACAGTTGTCGCCGCGCGGACAACCGCCTTCGGAACGCGGCGCGGCTCCGCTGCGCGACCAGCTGATCACGCCGGTCGCCGTGCAGGAGCCTTTGAAGTCGGGCACCGGGATGTTCTGGCACCACACGGGGATGTAGCGCAGGGTCAACGAGTTCGATCTCGGCAGAAACGGCGTTCTGCGAATGTGCGCGACCTCGTGGCTAAATAGGCAGCGGTCGATCATGTGGCATGACCCGACAGAGCTTAGTCTGTCACACAGTCTAGTTCTAAAAATGTTCACCATCGACCAGTCGAAGTTGCAGTCGTTGAACTCGAGCGGCATGCCGTCTGCCGCCGTCATGGACACGAGGTACGGAATCGTGTGGTTGTGCGATTTCGAGACTCGCCGGTTTGGCTTCCACTTCGAAGTCCCGTGCAGAAGAAGCTTCTTCTCGCTGTTCGCGGCGTTCGCGGCTTTCTGCAGCATTCGAAATCGTTACTCTTCTTTTAAAAATTTGCGGCAGTCGCTAAACGCACACTTCGTTCTAAAATGTACACATATTATTCCACAGCTCCCGTCTCCGCTAATTTATTTTGCCGGCAGGGGCGCGCACCGCAGAGATGCTGTCGCTACGACTGCGGTTGCAGCTCTGCGAGCTTTTTGCTCGCGATTTTGGCTTCGTGAATAAATTGCATACGCACAGCTTCTTCGTGCAGGCGCCGCAGGTCTTCCGCGGAGCGCGCCGCACGCAGTCGCGCGCGCAGCGCCGCAGACTGCATCTCGCGGCGATGGTCGGCGTTGTCCACTGCTGTGGGCGGTGGTAACACAGATGGCGTTTCAGAAAACGGCGCAGGCAGCAGCGCAGTTAGCGACATGGACTTCGGCGATTCTGGCGGCGGCGTCTCGTGTTTCTTGCGCGGCGAGCCGCGCACCTTCGGCTGCGCCGGTTCGCACGCCTGCATGACGCCCACCTTCGGCTGCGCCGGTTCGCACGCCTGCATGACGCCCACCTTCGGCTGCGTCGGTTCGCACTCCTGCTTATCGCCATCGTAGCCAAGGTCGATCAGCACATCTTTCGCTTTGTCTATGAGCGGTTTAACTTTGCGGTACGCTGCTTTGTTTTTTTCCAAAGCTTTCAACACGCGGTTCAATAGCTCCGCCAACATAGCTACATTTTCAAGCTCAAACTCGCCGGCTGTCATGGCGCATCTATTTTCGAGGTATATAATTTAGTGTTATAGAATTATGGAATCGAACCTGCGGCGCCGCGCCAGGCGCGTCACGCCGTTACACCCCAACACGTAATGTGTTGTTTACTACTGCATGCTGATTTTACACAGTTTCTGCGTTTTGCACAAATTATTAATTGAATAAGCTGTCGACCGAGATGAAGTCCATAATTTCGTTCGCCGTTTCCGACGAAGACACGGATGCGATTTACAACAAAATCATGTCTGCAAACTGCAAGCCGGAGGAGAAATTGCAGTACATCGTTTTCGCGTTGGACGGCGAGAAGTGGAAGCGCGTGAAAAGCGGGCCAATGTCTGACTCGTTCTTCAGTGAGATCGTCGCAGTGTGCCCCGAGAACGAGGCGCGGCAAATCATTTTCCGCAGCAAGGACGGCCAGTCAGACGTATGGGTCGTGTACCTGCCTGAGACGGCGAACGTGAAGGAACGCATGCACTTTGCAACCGCGGGCAAAAGCCTCTTCGCGCGGCCCAACGTGCCGCGCCACCGCTTCGAGATCCGCTCAAAAGCAGACTTGACTCCCGAGAACCCAGAGCTCGCGCCGTTTTTGAAGTAAGCAGCGCGCGGCGCTGTCAGTACTTGTTCGTTTTCCCGCGCTGCGCTAGAGGCGCAGCTTGCCGAGCGAAGAAAACGGACGCGCGTACTTCGCGAACGTGAACTGGTTTTGAGCTGTGTAACGCGGGTTGTAGCGCACCACGCCCGCCGGAATGCGCGTCTTCCAAACTTCATTCGGCAGCGGCTGCACGGGTGTCAAGCCGTCCGGCAAAAAGAAGCCCGTCGGGTCGAGCGCAGGGTGCAGTTCTGCAGCCTCGTCGTAGTCTGCGGGCGGCGCGAAGTCCACTGCGATATCCGCGTCGACGATGCGGATGGCGGGTTCCGGCTTGCACTCGAGCACTGCGATGTCGAAGGTGCGGTCTCCGTACGCGACGCGGAACACGTCGCCCTGCGAAAGACACGTGTAGCGGTTAAGACAGAGCTCGAGAATCGTCTTCGGGTCGTCGCACGAAAAGATGAACTCTTTCTGCTGCGGCTGGATCTTGATCTGCGTGCCTTGCGGCAAAAAGACGTTCGAAACCAAAATCAGCCCGCCTTCCTCGAGCGACAGGTTTCGCATCATCCAAGAAGGCACGTACGCAACGTCGTTCTTATCGCTGGAAAACTCGAGCACGCCGCAGTGCGTGATCAGACCCTTCTCGGGGTTGCTCAGCTGGAAAGTCATCGGGAGAGGCACGTGCAGGTAGTTCAACGAGGTCAGCGCGGTCGCGGGAAGAATGATTTTGTTGCCGACCTCAGTCTCGTCCTTGTTGCAAAAGCTGAAACTGTAGCAGTTGTAGTATTCTTGATATTTGAAGTCCAAGTCTTTAGGGTTCGCGCGAGCAAAATTGCGCTGCGAAAAGCCGTGCTCAAAGATTCGCGCGGCCGAGCCGAAAAACTGGGTGGCGAAGAACCGCACCTACCATCTGCATCTATTGCTGCGCGCGCACGCACTGAATTATCGCATTCGGAAAATAGGTCGATTTGAATCTGCCAATAAAAAAGCGTTAATGTACTAACGCGGCGCCGCAGCAGCTGCATGGTTAAGGTAACTGTCTGTTTGACGCAGGTCACCGAGACCGTGACGCTTGAGCGCAACGCGACTGTTTCGCAGAGCAATGCGCAGCTGAAGCGCAGCGAACCGAAGAAGTCGGTGCACTTTCACGAGTCGGTCGTCGACAACGAACACACAGGCCGCAAGAAAAGCAACTGTAAGTCCCGTGGACCGCGCCGCAGGCTGCTGCATCTACGAGAAGCCGTACTCGCTGGACTGAGCGCTCACTCGACAGACTTGAGGTGGTTCAGCACGTCGTACTTCGAGTTGTACAGCGGACGGCCCGCACTCACGAAGCTGTCCACAATTGCATAGGCTTTGTCCAAGTTTTTCATTATATCTAGTTCGCACTGCGTTTCGTGCGCAGCCACTTACGACACAGTTGAAGTAGAGGTCGAACGCTTCGACCATCTCCTCGATCAGGTGCAGGTAGAACATCTCGTTCTAGCTCGCGCGCGGAGACACTTACCTGAGCGCCGGGGGCGAGCACAAAAATCACATAGAGGCTCGCAAAGCGCTTGAAGACCAGCCGGAAGTTCGCGTGTTCCGCAAGCGAGCACGATTGGTTTTTCACCAGAAAGCACGCGTTAACGCAGGCATACTCGAATGCGGGACGCGCTTTCAACGAAACGAGCTTTTGGCCGTCAAAGTAGCGGCTGAAGCGTGTCTGCCCTTGCTTGTTGCAGAACAGCACTGCCACGATCATGCGAGGTTCATTTGGCGGTCAACTAGAAATCTTTTTTGATTAATTCGCGAGAATTTACGCGCCTCGCAACATGATCAGCACATGTAGCGTCGATTCCTGAGTGATGTTGTAGTCGCTGAGCGTGCGCTCGCCGCTGAGCTGCCTGCCGGCGAAAATCAATCGGATGTGCGCCGGGTCGATACCTTCTTTGGCCTGCGCACTCGTCGCACGCACTTACCGCCACCTGCTGCACTACGGTGTTGACGAGTTGCGCGGGGTCCACTTCCATCTCGTGCCGCTTGCCTTGCATTGAAGTGATGAACATTATAAACAAGTGGAAAAACGTAAATAATATGCACGACTCGCACGGCGCGCAGCTACTCGCTGAGCAGCCTAAAGATGGGCCCGAAGATTAGCTCGTCGTCCTGCCCCCAAGCTGGCGTCGCGGTCGCGTCGTCGCTTTTGGCTGGCTCGAGCGCGCTTTTGGCGTTGCGTTCGGTCGATGCGCTCGCTGCGGCCGCTGGCTCGCCGCGGCTCGCGCGCGTCGGCGCGGGGTCCGAGCCTGCGGTGTGCGGTAGAGTGACCGCCAGGTCGCCGCTCTCCCAGTCGAACACGGCCTTGACAACTTCTGCCTCGCTTTTTGCAAATGTGATCGCGCCGACCAGCAGCTGAGCGTCCTTTAAGTTGTTGCTGAAAATTTCAGCAACGGCAAGCAACGTGATCGCAACTTTGCGCACTAAGATCTTGTGCCGCTGGTCGTTCGCAAAGCGCGCAACGACGATGTCCAAGTCCTGCTCGTCTTGCTGGCTGGTGAGCGTCAGGCCGAGTTGTTTCAGGAACGCTGTGGCGGCGTGCACCGGGCAACACAGCTGCAGCACGTACTCGTGCTTGTAGTGATAGTCTGCGCAGCACGCTGCGTGGATTGAGACTGCGTCTAAGTCGCCAGTTTCTGCTAGCAGCCGATAAGCCTTCGTGGATTCGCCCTTCGTGTCGAGTGCCGCGAGGTCGTGCTTGTTGTCTGTATGCAGTAGTGCTTGCGGCGACAGTGGCACGCTGACGCTCGGCTCTGATGCGCGCGCCGGTTCTATTGTGGGCTCCGCTGTGGGCTCCGCGACGCTTGTTTCCCTCACTTCTAGCGCGTAAGCCTGGTTGCTGTAAGACCAGCGGAGCAGTGAGACGAGGATGGCTACGAACACCGCTTGCGGCGCACACTGATCCGTCTCGAGTAGCAGCGCGACTTGTGCGCCGAGCGTCCCGGGATCTACGCGCGTTTCGAGCGAGAACCGCGCGTTGGCGCGCTCAAGCAGCGCTTGGAAGTCCGACTCTGAGAGATTTGCGCAGTACAAGATGATTTGCGAACGCGAAGCCAACAAAGACAGCGGAGCGCGCTTCGATACGCGGACGCCGCCAGAACTCGCGCGGCTGAACAAGAAGTGCAAGAGGTAGTGGTACGCCGGTAGGTGCAGCAGCGAGAGGTTGATCATAGGAGACGCGTCTACCGCTTCGAAGCGCGAGTCGCTTTGCGTCGCCAGAGCTTCCGCGGTGAGTGCGGTCAAGCGTTTGTCGACGTACGCTCCATAGCTGTTCACTACGATCGCGAGTTCTGCGCGGCGCGGGTACGGAATTTCGCTGACTAGCAGCGCCAGGATGATGTACAGCGTGCTGTGGTACTCGAGCGCGGTGAAACGGGCGAGTCGAGTGCGCAGCGCGGGCGGCAGCGTGTGCTCCGCCAGCTGCGCGTCGCCGTGCGCGACGCCCTCCAGCGCGGCGAAGTACACCTTGTTGTGCTCGAGCGTAACGCAGTCGGGCAGCCCGAGCACTCTGTCGGACACAATGCTGTACTTGTGCAGAAGCGCTTGGTCGACGCCCGCGGCGTGCAGCGCGCTGTACAACTTGGTTTCCTCCAGATAGCGATTCTGCCGGAACGTCTTCACAATTTTATTGATGGCTTCTTCGATCTCTAGCGAGTTCGAGAAGATCGCGCTCAGCAGCGTGTGCGGCTGAGTGAAGCACAGCTTTTGGAAGTAGGCAAACGCATTCAGAATGTCGGAGCGCAGCTCTGCTACGCAGTCACTCGGCTGCTGCAGCACGAAGTTGCAGTATCCGAGGTTCGCCAAGTCTGAAAACATGCGGCACTTCAGCGTCTCGCTTTGCGAGTGGAGCATGTGCATCGCAACGCAAAGCGCGATGTCTTCGAAGAGCCAAACGCACACAGCCGGCCGCGAGTGCGGGTCGCACAGCGCTTCGACTTGTGGGCGCGTTTCGCGCGGATTGTAGCGTGGCACCGTATCGTAGTTCCTGCAGAAAACGTAGAGAAGTTTCTCGAGGAAGCTATAGTTAGGCTGCGCACTTTCGTCCAGGAACGCGCAGTACAGCAAGTAGTAGAACGTTTCGAGCTCGTTCGTGGACGTCACAAGCAGCTTGCCGGCGTTTCGCGTGACTTGCGCAACTGGTTTGCTGAAGCAGTCGCTGTAAATCTTGCGACTGAGCTGTACCAGAGTGTCGTTCGCGCTGACGCGCAGAAGCTCGACCCACTTCAAGCGGAGCAGGTTGAAGCGCAAAAAGGACTTGACGAACGACGAGCTGCGCTCTGCGACCTTCTTCTTGAGCTCGCGTTTGGCCACGACGACGAAGTAGGACGTCAACCGCACGTTGAAAGCAGTGCGTGCCCAGTACACCAAGTTGGTAACGGTGTCGCGCTTCCAGTCGTTTTTCGCGTAGTTTGGGTCAGCCAGGAAGTGGTGCAAGACGAAGCCAAACAGCAGCAGGACGCAGCTTTGCGCGTTAAGCACTTGGTTGAGAAACACGACGTCGACTGTCTCCAGGTTCGACGCGACGTCGCCGGAGATTCCGACGATCAGCCTGTCGTACGCGCTGTTCTGGAACAAGTCCAGGACGAAGCCGATGAACCTTGAAGACAGCCATTTGGCGGTGGACGCAGCTTCCAGCAGCGCAGACAGCTGAGCTTTGGTTGCCTCGGAGTGCGCGTTTAGTGTCTGCAGCAAACCGCTGCGCTTCACTGAGGGATCGAACTGCAGCGAGAAGAAAGAAACGGCATCGTTGAACAGGTCGATCTCGCCCGACTGAGAGAACTCGGCGCTGTTCAGCCGCTTGACGCGGGCAGGCGTTTTTTTATGACGGACGCCGCACTTGGTCGAAAACAGCGAGTTGTAGTCTTCTACCGTGTTGCGTTGCGCGCCAGCTGTCGAGCGTCGCTTGTGTTGCGCCTGAGCGGGCGCGGAGGAGATGCGTTTGAGCAAGTCTACGGCTGGCGCGGCGCGCAAGGGCTCCGCGGCTGCGCACGCACCAGGGTCTGCGTTCTTCCTGAGGTACTCGGCACAGAGGTACACTGCTAGCGTGAGAACGGGCGTCGATTTGAAGACGTAGAAAACAAAGTTGAAGGCCCGTCGCAAAATAGCCTCATCAGAACCCAGCGAGTAGCCCCACTTCGAAACGCGCTCGCTTTTGCGGTTAATGGTGAGGTGCGCGTTGTTGTCGAGCACGCAGGCTAACTCGCTTTGGAACAACACGTGCAAATCGTACTCAAACACGAGATCTAGAAAAGCGAAGTCTTTCGCACTCTGAATGCGGACCAAGCTAAGCAGCAGCTCCTTAATGCTCGTAAACACTTTTTGAAAGAGCGCCTTGTTCAGCAGCTTCTGGCTGCTAAACATCTCCTGCTGCTGCCTCAACTCTGCGACTACCTCGCGAGCTGTGGACGGTCTGCCGACGTAGTTGTTGTCCAGCTGCGACAAGAGCACGATGTCGCTGTTCGAAACCTCGAACGCCGCTTCTGGCGTGTTGTGCAGCTCGAGAAGGCGTAAGTCAATCTGGCGCTGCAACTCGATAGACTCTGCGTCCAGAAACCCGCTCTGCGAAATGCGCGTGATGTTCAGCAGCAGTTCGTTAATGCCGCAGAAAAAATCTTTGTTTGTCAAGCTGCACTTCAGCGCAGACTGCATCTGGCTCAGCGTGTTTTGACACTCGTCCGGCTGTGGCTCCTCGCAGAGCAGCGCAAGCAGCAACACAATGTATCCCAGCGCATTATAGCCGCACCCTTTCGTGTAGTACGCGTGCCAAATCGGGAACAACAAGCCGCTGTACAACGCAAAGCCCGGCTGCAGCAGTAAGGACTTGTATCTCCCGAGAAAGCGTTCGAGTTTGTACTCCACGGTGCAGCGCGTGAACAGTCCGACGAGCTGCTGCAGCGTCTCGGTGCAGCCCGCCTCGCTAGCCAAATAAGCACCGCTAGTTATCAGGTTGTCGAGCGCGTGCAGCAGCTGCCGGACTTTGCCGCTGAACAAGTCGTCTAGCTCAGAGTGCTCCTCAGCGTCTGCGCGGGCAGTGCTGCGCGTGTCGTCTGCAAAGTCCGCATCGACAATATCCGACGACTCATCGCCGGAGCCAAGAGGCCGAAGATAGCTAAAGCGAGAGTCACCGTAGTCGCTCAGTTCGCTTCCCGGATCCGCGCGAGCGTCGTCCGGCTCCGCGATGAAGTCGGTTTCATGCTGCATGAAGCCGCACGCTACGGTTCGCAGACACTCGGCGCACTCATTATTGCCGCGATTTTAGCAGATATTCCGTGCAGGGCAAATATGATTTTGAAATTGAGCGCGGCGCCTGGCGTCGAGACTTTAGCCCAACTGGTGACTTGACAAACGGAGTAGCAAAATGGAATCGAGCGCGGCTGAGAAGCTAAAAAGTTTGAAGCAAGCGCTCGAGCGCAAGCTGCCAAGCGTGATGAACAAGCTGGCAAACAAACTGAAAAGCAAGAGCAGCGTTAGGCTGGAGCTGACCAAAAAGATCAAACGGCTGGAGCGCAGTGCTGAACCTTTAAAGACCACGTCGACGACATCTGCGAAGCGCGCTCAACGCGGAGGTCTTCGGTTCTTCACGCCAGGATACTTTCGCAAACGGCCGAATACCGTTTCCGTGTTTAGCGCCTTTAGCAAGAAGCTGCCGAAGTATGAAGAGCCAGCGCTGTTTATTCAAGACAACAACTTATCGCGCAACAGTCTCTGCGAGAGGCTGTGCAAATACCTGGAAGGCGTTGAGTCGGGTTGCGACGCGTGGTCGCTGGGACCCGCGCCGGCGCAGCCGAAGAATCTGATTGAGCATCCGGTTGTGCTCAAGAAACTGCGTAGCGAGGTGTTGCCTAAGCTTTTCTTGACAGAATTGGAGCGGAAAGCGATGCGGAAGGAGGAGCACATGGCGAAGGAGCAGCGCAAGCGCGACCAAATTACTATGGGGTTCATCGAGCCACCTGGGCCGAAGATCAAAGTTTCGAACGTGTTTCGCGTTCTCGGCTCTAAAGCTCTGAGTAACCCAACGGCCAGTGTGCAGTTCGCGATGAAGGAAGAAGAGGCACGCCGGCAGAAGCATCTGCAGACTAATGCGGAGCGAGCGCTGACGGCGGAGCAGCGGCGCGAGAAGCAGAAACAGCACTGGATGCAGACAGACGGTCAGCAGTTTTTGAGTCTGTATAAGCTGCAAAACGCGTTGAACCGAAAAAGCGTGTACAAAATCGCGGTTAACGCAAAACAGCTTCAGCTGTCCGGGTTTCTGCTGCACCGTTCAGAAAGTGTATTCTGTGCGTTAATAGTAGAGGGGTCGCAGCGCGCAATGAACCGGTTCGACAAACTGCTGCGCAGGCGCGTCGCGTTTGAGCGCGAAGGGCGCGCTGTGCCGGCAAGCGAAGCTGTTTTCCGTCTGAGTACCGTGCCCGTGCCTGTGCGTCGGTTTAGAGGCTTTGAAACCAAAGAGTTTAGCGAGCCCGCGCGACTGGATTTAGCAGTTGCACAGCTGTACGCGCAAGTCGAGCAATATGTAGCGTAACATTTGTTGATCTGCACGTAAAAAATTATCTGCTGGGTATGTGTGGCAACAGCGAAGAGCAGGCTCGCGCGATTCACTGCGAAAATGCAATTAGCATTCAGCGGCGACTCGAAGAGCTGCGCTGTCCGGTCGCAGACTACTACATGGCCAACTCTTTTTTGGCCGCGAATCATAGTGCTAAGAGCTTGCTGAAACGCGGCAAAGTACGCAAGGCGGAGTGGAGGCGTGTCTCACTGGGCACGCGCGTCATCGAGAGCTTGCAGAACGCTTACACGAAGTCTTCCTGCTGCGTCAATCCGGAAATCAAGCGCGATCCAACGGACGAGACAGACGAGGAGCGCGCTGCGACTCGCGAGAACCAAACGCAGTACCGTCCGGAGTACAAAACGAGCGAGGTACTCGGCGCCGCAATAATGCGCAGCGATAATTATGTAACGCGAATTTTACAAGGCAGCTCGGTGGGGGAGTTCGGAAAGAGCGCAGCCACCATCGTCGGCCCGAAAACGGACTTGTTAGCGGCCAGCGATTTGCTGTGTTTGTAAAAAGGCTTGCACACAGAGCGTGGAAGTCGAGGTCTCCTTTAGCGCCATCGCGTCTGACGCGGTGCGCAAAATCGTAGCGAAGCAGCGTTACTTCTTTGCTTTGGAGAGCCACGCTGCGGACGTGATTTTCAGCGCGCAGCATAAAACGACTAAGGGGCTACTTCAGTCGCTTTTCGTCGGTTTGCACAGCGTCCTGAGCGGCGGCGAGGACACCGAACTCGAAGAGCAAATGCGTTTTTCGGCGCGCTGCAGCGGCGATTTTGGCGCGTTTCTCGCGCAGTTCGCCGAGGCTGCGCTCGCGACGCACTACGAGTATCGCTTCGTAGCGGTGCACGTCACAGTGACGAAGTTTTACGAGGCTCACAAAAGATTTGTGGTGGAAGCAACGGCGCTTGGCAGGCGGTACGAGCCCATGCACGTGTTCTGCGGAACCGAGATTAAGGCCGTCACGGCGCACTGCATTAAATTCAATTTGGACCGAACGCGCGCGCACTTGCTGCTGGATGTGTAGAGACACGTTAGGTTTTGGGCGCGGCCGTTTCGCAGCGCAAGGCGTCGTCGTGCGCTCGCGCTGCGGAGGCGGCGATATTTAATTCTCGCAAAAATCAACGCCATGTTGAGCGCACTGTGCAGAGCGCTGCGCGAGTTGTGAACTAGCTAGCTGGTGCGCTGCGCATCGACGCATGGCGGATCTCGACGCGGAGTGGGGAGTGCTCAACTGGAGCGACAACGCAGTCGACTTTTGCGGATTTTTGTACCATGTAGCAGAAGTGCAGTCGGAGCAGCAGGCTCGGCCAAGCAACTGCGTCAGCCTGTACTTCATCAAACAGGACAGCTGCGCGGTCATCCGCGTGGACACCGCGGCTGAGTACAGCTTTGTCGTCGCGTTACGCCGCTTCGTGCTAGGGGTAGAGCCGGAGCCAGGCATCGAGTTTATGCTGGAGATTGCGTTGACGACCGAGCTCGAGAAGGTTGTGAAAGGTCCGAGCTCAGTTAAGTGGGTAAAGAAGATTCGCGCGTCGGGCCACGAGTATCTTGCGCGGAATAACTACAATCCTTACCTGAAGGAGGCTATGCTGCAGTTCACGTTCGCATATGCTCAGGACTTCCGCGCAGCGCGTCGTGTGCTTCAAGACCTTCTTGCAGTAAACCGCGAAACGCTCGAGTACTATGAGCGGCTGCGCAAACAGGACGGCAGCGCTCTGAAGAACACGATCGAGCAAGAGCTCGCGAAGTCTCCGGTGCTAATTATCGACAACATTTACGAGCACGACATCAACCCGATCTCCAAGTACATCTTTTCCAACAAAACCTGGCTTTGCCGCTGGTACGACGTGCGGAAGCCGTTCGTCGCGCGGCATGCGCAGCATGACGTCGCTGAGGACGCAGAGCTCGTCGCAGCGGCCCCTGTCATCACGCCGAACACTGCCATGGAGGGCCGCATGCCGAACTTCAAGATCTGCGCGTGGGATCTGGAGACCTATAAAGAGCCGTTGCGCTTTCCAGACGCGGAGAAAGACCCAATCATGTCAGTGGCACTCTCGCTAGAAGCCGGTTCGATCTTGCTGACGAACCGGAACTACTTCTCGCAACCCATTACAGACTTCATGTTCGACGAGACTGAGTACTGCAAAGTGTACAATTTCGGCGACGAGAAATCGATGTTGCAGTTTTTTCTGGGCCTCGTGAAGGACGTGTTACGGCCGCACATCATGGTCACGTACAACGGTGACGTGTTCGACTTTCCGTACCTGCAGACGCGCTGCACGAAGAATCAGCTGAGTTTGCGGCACTCGTGGGGCTTTGTGCGCAACGAGCTGTACTCGAAGGTATCGAAGATGCGCAATGACGTGTCTTTCACCTCGCCGCTGGTGATGCACATGGACTGCCTGCGCTGGGTGAATCGCGACAGCTACTTGCCGCAGGGCAGCCGCGGCCTGAAGGCCGTGGCACGGCTAAAACTGAAGACCGAGCCGCGAGAAGTGCCACCCGAGCTGATGGTTGAGTACTGCAAATTGAAGCCGCAACTGATGGCGGAGTACAACGTGTCTGACTCGCGGCTGACTTACACCCTGTACTCGACGTACATCCACGGCTTCATCTGTGCGCTGACAAGCATAATCGCGCTCAGCATGGACGACGTGCTACGCAAGGGCTCGGGCACGTTGTGCGAGTGCTTGCTGATGAGCAAGGCGCACGAGCTAGATATATTGATTCCGAACAAGCTGCAAGAGGAGTTGGACAACTGGTACGACGAGGAGCGCCTGTTGATTGACGAAACGTATGTCGGCGGCACAGTCGAGCAACTCCGCTCGGGTGTGTTCAAGGACGACATTCCGGAGAAGTTCGTGTTCGACCGCGAGGTTGTTGAGTCGCTCATTGCGGGTTTGGACAAAGCGTTTGAACACTTTCTCGCTAGCGAAGTCCGGCTCCCGGGTGTGCAGAAAACCAATTGGAGCGAGATCAAACCGGTTATTGTCGAGCAACTGAACACGCTGATCTCAGCGGGCTCGTTCGAAGAGAACCCCTTAATTTACCACCTGGACGTCGGTGCGATGTACCCGAACATCATTATCACGAACCGGCTGCAGCCGTACGCGATTGTGGACGCGGCGCAGTGCGCCGCGTGTAGTTACGGTGCGCAGTCGAGCGTTTGCAACAAGCGTATGCAGTGGCTGCGGCGCTGCGAAATTCTGAACCTCGAGAAGCGCGCGATTGACTTGGTGAGCGACCAGCTTAGCGTTGAGACTTTCAAGCGGGAGGACGCAAGCAACGAGAACGCGGTTGCCGTGAACTTCCGCAACCTTCCGCTACTCGAGCGCAAAGAAATCCGCATGAAGCGGCTGAAGTCGATGAGCGCCAAGCTGAACAGAAACAGAGTCGGAGAAAAAAAAGTGTTCGAGTGCACTGCAAGCGTCTGCCAGCGCAGCATCGACTTCTACGTGTCCACTGTGAAGGACTTTCGTGATCGTCGCTTTGTGTTTAAGAAGCTGAAGAAAAAGGCCGAGAACGGGTTGCGCAACGCACACTATTTGCAAGAGGCCGAGTTGCAGAACAAAGTTATCTACTACGAAAGCTTGCAGCTCGCGTACAAGTGCATTTTGAACTCGTTCTACGGCTACGTTATGCGCAAGGGAGCTCGCTGGCACTCAATGGAGACCGCCGCGATCACCACATATACGGGCGGCAACATCATCAAACTTGCTAAGAAAATTTGCGCAGGCGTCGGGCTGCCTCTCGAGCTCGACACCGACGGCATTTGGACTCTGTTTCCCAGCAACTTTCCCACCAACTTTGAAGTAGTAGTGCAGCACTCCGACGCGGCGGCGCTTGCGAGCTGCGAGGCGGGCACTGGTGCAGGGCGATGCGAGTCTTCTTTCACGTTCAGCTATCCGTGCTGGATGCTTAACGGCGCGGTTGCGGAGTACTGCACGAATTCGCAGTACCTGACGTGGAACGGTTACAGCTTCGAGCGCTCAAACGTAAATACGATCTACTTCGAGCTTGACGGCCCTTACAAGGCCATGTTTCTGCCGGCGAGCGAAAAGAAGGACGCGCAGCTGAAAAAGCGCTACGTCGTCTACAACAAAAAAGGCGACATTTCGGAGCTCAAAGGCTTCGAGCTCAAGCGTCGCGGCGAGCTCGAAATGCTCAAGTTGTTCCAAAAGAAGCTCTTTCCATTGTACATCTCGGCCTCGTCGAAAAGCAAGATCTTTCAGCGCGTCTCGGACCTGTGCGACAACTGGTTGCGCTTCTTGAGCACGAAAGGAAAGTACATGGCGAACGAGAAAGTCGTCTTGAGTCTGCTTTCTGAGAGCACCACCATCAGCAAGAGCTACAACGCGACGCCGAACAAGAAAACCATGAGCATGCAGGTGATGAAGAAGCTAGCCGAACTGCGCGAGGACGCGACGTACCTGAACGAAGGCGGAATCCGCGTGAGCTACGTGGTTTTGCAGGTGCCGGTGAACGAGCAGCGCATCTATCGAGCCGTGCCAATAACTTTCTTCGAGCTGGACGCGAGCGCCCGCGCTGCGTTTCTGCAAAAGTGGGCGTGTGTCACGATCTCCGGCACTTTGCTCGACCATTACGCATGTGGCATCGACACTCCTGCTCTGATGTCCGCCTACGAATTGATTGATTGGGACTACTACCGTGAGCGACTGGTGAAGCAGATTTACAAGGTGCTGATCGTGCCGTGCCTGTTGAACAAGTTGCCGAACCCTTCGTCTGTGCAGCCGCCCGACTGGCTGCGGCAGTTGCAGCACGTGAACAGCCACGTAAAGCACTTGAAGCTGGAGTTTGTCGAATCTGCGGCTGCTCCAACAGATGCGTCCGGAGCAGCCGTGAGTGAGCTGGTCGGCGAGAACCGCTACACTGCGTTTTTTGCTAAGTACTACAGCCTGAAGAGCAGCGCAGACCGCGCTGGTCGTCGGCGAAAAGCGCCACTGCTGTGCAAGACATGCCCGCAGTTTCGCGAAAGGCACCCTGCTGTGTGGCAGAGCTTGCCGCAACCGTACTTCTACCAGTCAATAGCCGAGCTCCTCACCAAAACGCAGTTCCATTTTTGCGGCTTTTTCAACAGAGTCGCGTGCCTGCTTGAGCCTCACACAATGCACTGCTTTTACGTGAGTTGCGAGCGGAGCTGCGTGGTCACAGTTTTCGGGCAGCACGCAGCGGAGGACGTCACTCGCGCAGTTGGATTGCCGCCTGGCGAAACTTGCGTGCCGGTTTTGCGCACGCAGCGTGGCGGCCCGGGGCTCGTCGAGTTCACAGACTACTTGATGCCTTACGAGGTGAAGTTGCGTCTGGGCGCGCACGCAATAGTGAAAACCGAAAACAAGCTGCTGCGGCTGAGCATCAAGGACTACGTGCACGCGCCGGCAGTTTCGGTGTTTCGCACTGGTGACGGACTCTTCAAACTGACGGACTGCTTCAAGGCGACGCACTTGTTCGAGCCCGGCATGCTGCTCGACTGCGACTTTTCGCTCGACTATTTTTTGGTTAGCACTGAGTGCGAGAGTTACATCAGACTGTACGTCAGCAAGCTTTTCTCGCACCCGCGCTTGGTGTGCAAGCTGAAGCTCTTTTCGGGCGCCGAGAAGAAGCTTCTCGCGCTGGCTAAGGAGCTGACTGAGGCTCTTAAGCTGGCCATCGTAGAGCACTTCGTCCTGCCAACGGAGGTGTTGACCTCGCGCGTTTCTTTTATCGAAGACGATCGACTAGAAACGGACAGTCTGGCGGAGTTTGTTGAAAGGCGGTACGAGTCGGTACTGCAACGAGAAGGCGCGCGACTGGACAATAAGTTCAGTATTAAGTTGTGCGCCAGCAACTTCGAGAACACACTAGACGCTGTCTCGCGCGTCGTCGCCGACAGTATTGACGGCCGGGTTGTGTCTCGGCCGTTGTACAAATTCAGCAAATTGCCTACGGACTGTTGCAAATTGCTTGACACACCGAAAGACGTAGCAAAAGTGCTGTTGCAACCCGTGCTGCGGATCTTCCAGTCGAAAAGCTTTTCTGCGCTGCGCGAACAGCCGACCGTGCTGAATGACTTTCCTCTGTGCGACATCCTCGACAACGTTGAAATTTCCAAGAAATTTGCCGCGTTCTGCCAGAACCAGGGCGTGCTCGAGCACAGTTTCGCCACACAAGCGGTGGCTAGCAGCATGCATTTTTACGGCTGTCTAGACAGTGACGCGGACTCGTCAATTGCGTACGCGAACGAAGGGATATTTCGCAAACAACTCGTGAAGCTGGACTTTACTTACGACTTGCCGCTTTCCGCCGTGTTGTTGTTCGAGCAGCTCACCGAAGGCTATCAAAAAAAGGCGCTGGTTTTGTCGAAGCTGTTTTCTGCTCAGAAGTCCGAGCTTAATTGCGGCTCGGGCAGCATGGTCACGTCTTCAACCTACCTGAATTCAAAAGCGTTTCGGTTCATTATTTCGATTTTGCGCAGCTATACGGCGAACCAAATTAGCCGCGAGCTCAGCTCGAACAAGCTGCTCGCTGCGCTCGCTGAAGAGATCATGAACGTTTTGGTGCCTGCGCTCAAAAAGCGCATCATTAGCGCGGCCGAGGAAATATCGAAGCAGTTGGGCACCAAGCTGACCGTACTTTACATCTCCGAGAAAAGTGTGCTGCTAGGGCTGCCGACGACGGACCTGGCGTTGGCAAAGAAAGCCGTGCCGTTCGTGCACGCCTTATTTGCGGAGAGTCTGAAGTGCAAGACGTTCTTTAAACCAGCTGTCGAGCACTTCTTCAAATGCGTTGTGTTCGACAACCAAAACCATGTGATTCTCAGCACCAACGGCGAGCCGGCAGATCTCTCGCTGCCCATGCTGAGGTCTCTAGAACGCGCGCAGTACGTAGAAGACTTTATTGTTGAGTACTTGACGCTAGAGGTTGCTGAAGCAGCGGACGCTGCAGTGGTTGCCGCGCCGTTTGCGCAAGGAGTTTGCGGGGCGCCAGGCGCGTTGGATGAACGTATTTTAGCGTTCGTGGCGGCAATGCTGCCAGCGCTGCAGAAGTGCAACTTTAGTGTCCACCGCGAAAACACGCCGCTGTATGCAGGCCGCAGTTTGTCCGACCTGCCGCTGCTGGTGGTCGAAAGACTGCTACGCTACGACGCCGTCGACTACGCAAAGCACAGCAAGGTCGAGTCCTACCTTGCGCTCATAGCGGACGAGGCGCCGAGCAATTTGCGCTGCGTCCCAATTATCGTACTCAAATCTGTACAGTGCGCGAACTGCTGCGCCGCGATGAACCTGAGTGTGTGTGATAACGAGAATTTTTGTTACTATTGCGGCCATAAGTTCGACGACACGCATGTAGAAGACTTGTTAATCCGGCTGCTGTTTTCTTACTGGACGACGGAAACGCAGAACATTAGAGAGGTGTGTGGGCTATGCGGGCAGCTGCGGCAGAGACTGTGTCAGAAGTTTTGCGACTGTGGTGGCTCGTTTTCCGTGGCACGCACTGGCAGTCCGGAGGAGTTGTTGCGCGCTCTCTTTCACTTCGGTGCCATTTACAACTGGCCCAGCTTGCGGCTGTTGTGTGAGGGTTTGCAGCAAGAGTTGCCTGTGTGAACTTGTGCAGTTATTCCACAACAGCTGCGAATGTGAGCGTGCGTAGTTATCACGCGCTAAACAATAAAGCAGCAGACGCAGCGGCAGCGGTAACTCTCTATAATTTTAGTCGACATTGCGCTGGCAAGCTGTTGGGTGTGGGATACGGCTGCGCTGGGAGCAAAGACCAGTTTTCGCATCCAAGCCGAAGTAGCCTAAATTGTCGAGCGCTGCTGTGACGCTCGCGGAATAGACGTTACGCGAGGTATTGCGCTGCGCGACTGAAGCGTTAGCCACGTTTTGAGTAACAAGTTCTTTCATAACAGCGACGTCGCGACGGAGCCTTTCGGCAATCTCCACGGCCGCACTCTTAAACTCTTGCACGCTCTCAGTACCAGCCTGCGCAGGCACGTCTCTACAAGGAGTTTTCATGGTACTTGCAGTTTCCGCTGCCTGGAAGCTAATTGCGCACCGACTGCTGGCGAATAAAACCTCCGGGAAAGGATTGGCAAGCTCGCTCCACAGCGCGACCAGCGCGTTGTGTAAGGGGAATTGGTGTAGTGCTCCAGCAATGAGTGCCTGCAGTTTTTGCGAGAGCGGAGCCGTGTTCCCCAGTTTTTTCACCAAGCATCCCGCAGCGCAGATCCTGTCAACGTTGAGTTGCGAGACTCGGCTGTCAACGACGAATTTCAACCAAAGCGCTGTCCGCAGCCAGAAGCATTCGCCGCCGTTGACGCTGCCAGTTTCAAAAACTTCGAGCAGAAATAATGCGGCAGACATCAGAACAACAGCCGGGGCAGAACACTCTTCCGACGAAGCGGCGCGCGAAGAGGAGAGACAGCACAGCAGCAAAGTTAGCTCACTCGAGGAGCGCTGCGCCAGCAGTTGGAGACAGTCGTCAGTTTCAGATAGATACTGGTGGAACAGGCACTGCATAAAGACGTTAGTGAGTTTCTGGGGCGCGGACGGAGCGCTGAGACGTTGTTCGATCTTCAGCTTACAGCGCTCGTGAAGCTCGGCAAGCGCGTAGTCTTCGAAACGAGCTTGCGCTAGATCTAGCCAGAATGCGCGGAGACTCTCGACTTGTTGCGAAGCAAGAAGAATAACGCCTCGTAAAAGCGGACTTTGTTGCACTGCAGTCTCGAAATTGTTATGCTTTTCGAATGCAGACGGAGTGTCACCGCCCGACACCTGCGCGGTCAGGTGATCGGAAAGAGCGCTGCGGAGCAGAAGATAGATGCGCTGCACCGCGTAGTAGGTGTGTAGCGCGTCGCAGTCTGCGTCTGCGCCAAAGTCAGACTGTTTGCGAATGAAGCGGCAGAAACCGCCCTGCGTCTGGCACTGAGCTGCAGACAAAAACAACAGCTCGCAGTTGCCATCGGTCAAAGCGTTAACGTGCGTTTCTTGTAGACCCAGCAGCATTCGAGCGTGCGCAATTGCGCCAGGAATCCAGAAACTATAGCACACGTCTGCCACCTTGTACAGCCGACCTTTGAATCCCATTGGTCGAGCAGTGTTCGAGTGTGGCGACCAGGTTGGCAAGAGTAGCGCGGGATGTACAATGATTTGCTCTGAGCACTCCGTGTACAGAGAAGACATCTCGAGAAACCTGAACAGTTGAGCGCACAAAACCGACTCATGCAAGCTCTTAAGCTTGCCGTAGCGGGTCATTATGATATTCAGCATTCCCAAACAGACAAAGGTGAACCCGCCGTGCGGTTCTCCGCCCGGCCTAAAGCTGTACAGACCGAAGTCTTCGTCGAAAGAATCGAGAATCCACTGCGCCCAGTCCGACGCGAGCGCCCGCA